GTTTTGAAATATCTGACGTTTCAATCAAGTATGTTAATGATGTGCCACAGGCGAATGTCACATTAAATGTAAGATAATGATAATTATTTTATTGCTATTATAATTATTATTTTGTTGTTGAAACAGGTTGACAATGATTGCATTTTGTCAGTTCCGTGTACTGTAGATGTTAAATGTGCTTGTTTAAGCAACACAAGTCAAAGTATCTTTTTAAATGGGATATACCAGTTTGTGTTAAACCTAGTAAATTATAAAGAAATGTGTGGCTTGACTGTAGAGGCTGGAACATTGCAGGTCCATAAGTCAATAAGTAAGTATTTTAGTTACCATGTAGTCAGTACTGCTATTAACAAAAAACCAGTAAAACTAGTTTTGAAAAGCAGCTCTGCCTTTGATCATATTGGCAGTCTGTGTAGTAAAACCAGTTTTAACAACCAGTTCTGTGTAGTACCTGTATCAGCATTACTCATACCCAATGGAATGTCACATGATGTAATCAATGATTATATGTATATATTATTATAATTTAATACTATATTCCATTAATCCTTTCTCCCTCCCTCCCTCCCTCTCTCTCTCTCTCTCTCTCTCTCTCTCTCTCTCTCTCTCTCTCTCTCACCCTCCCTTTCTCTCAGACACTACAGCTGTTACAAGCTTCACAGTGACTTCACATGTCACACTCGATGGATACTTTCATGTTAATGCTACACTTCAGAAAGGGGTGACTGGGATTGTGATGCAAGTACAATACATCAATGGAACACTCTTTTTCAATCAGCCTATTTTGAGGAAGCCCTCTAGTGACTATGCTGGAGCTAACAATACGAGACCACTGCCTAATGGAACCTTTTATCTATCTATATACATGTTAAAAAGTGATGGAGTATCGTTTGATTTGTCGCGACCTATTAAGAAAAATATAGTGATTACATCACTAATTAAGAGTCCTAATGAACAACATGGTTTCCCAAGTAAGTGTGATGTATAATTGCTTACATACATTTCTTAAGGCCTGGGGACAAAGCTCTCAGGTGTTACTAAAGATTGTTTTTACCATTATGATGTGTAGTTATATGTCAAAGCTTACACATTAACTTGGAGAAATAGAAAAATTAAGACGCCTTAGCAACCAACCCACTCATGCTCCTTACGTAAAGTAATTAAGTGTGGCTACAGCACACAAAATGATTTAGTTATTTCATTATAGTTTATACACATGGGATAAAATTTTGAGCTCTTTCTAGAAACCCAGCTATGCATGCAGGGTGGTGTAAACAGGCTTAATCAAACTTTTTCCATAGCATAAGGATATGTCAATTATTATGTATCAGAAAATGTAATAAAAATTGGGGTGATTTTGGAGCCATTTTTTAGAAACAAGCATATCAGTATAAAAATATTCTTATAATTGTTTTCACCACCTAAGACTTATTATTATAAGATCAAGAGGATAAAGTTTTTAAAATAGAATTATGGCCATAACTTAAAAAATTTTAATTGGAATCAGTTTAAACTAAACATCCCTGAAGGACTACATACTCTAGGACATTAGAAGATAAACTAGGTGCTAAGACTATTTTTGATTAATCATTTACGATAGCCAACCACAATATCAATTACTGACGGCAAGAAGTTCTCCACATCAAAGGCAGATCAAAGCCCAAGGTGCTGAAATGAAGCATAGCAAGAAAACTATGCTGCAGCAAGAGTTACCTGGTCTTTATGATGTAGTCTGGCCTCCATACTTTCCATTACTTCTGCTTGTGAGCCTGTAGTACCTTGTAACACTCAAAAAAATGGCAAGGCAATGTCACCTTTTCTGATCTTGAAGCCTTCTTGCTGTCAGTAATGGTGGATATTGTATATGAAAAAATTATTTATTGAGCGAAGCCCTTAGTTATGAGAATTTCTGTATGTATGTATGCGTACGTTTGGGGGCATGACTAGGAGGTGTGGCCAAAAGGCAGAGCCCCTCAATGTTTTACATTCTTTCTAGTTATGAATAAATATCATTATTATAATCATTACTCATTGCATTGAAAATAGTTTTAGCACCTAGGGGATCTATAAGCCTTAATAGGGCCCAGCTATGCATGTAAGGTAGTAAAAGCAATCATAGGAATATTCTTACACTAATAATGTTTCTTCCTTAATAGCCTGGGCCATTATCTTTATCGTAGTGGTGATCACATTAATACTTACAATACTGGTAGCTGCTTTGCTAGGTTAGTAATAATGATATGTTTTTGATGAAAATTGTATACTTTGTGGTACTGTTTCAGGGTGTTACTTTTCTCAAAGAGGAGAAATGCGAAGAATTCAAGAACAGGAACAAGGCCCAGCACACCCAGTAGTCTTGGTAGGACCACCAGCCCCAGTACATCAAGGAGATCCACCATTACATCAAGGAGATCCACCAGTACGTCAAGGAGATCCACTAGTACATCAAGGAGATGTACCAGTACATCAAGGAGATCCACCAGTACGTCAAGGAGATCCACTAGTACATCAAGGAGATGTACCAGTACATCAAGGAGATCCACTAGTACGTCAAGGAGATCCACCAGTACATCAAGGAGATCCACTAGTACATCAAGGAGATGCACCAGTACATCAAAGAGATCCACTAGTACGTCAAGAAGAGCCACCAGTACATCAAGAAGATCCACCAGTACATCAAGAAGACCCACCAGTACATCAAGAAGATCCACCAGTACTTCAAGGAGATCCACCAATTCAAGGAGACCCACCAGTCCCACCACATCAAGGAGATCCACCAGTACATCAAGGAGAAGGAGATCTACCAGTCCCAGAAGATCCACCAGTTCAAGTCCCACAACAAGTCCAAGAAGACCCATTGAACAGACAAGAGCTAAGTATACCAAGGTAGATTACTGATATTATTACAAATGATGTTAGTATTGTATTTTCATTCTAGTATTTCTACAAATTTGCATCTTGTCTTGACTGAGCCAGGTCCTCCTTTACCTTCACCAGTTAGTGCCAATCCTCCAACACTGAGTAATACTTTTGAGAGCTTTGATTTCAATATTAATTCACGAACCAATGATCCCAGCATTTCAATACAAAATAACTCTGTTACTTATTCCACTACTGGTGATGGATCTGACTGCCCTCTTATAAAACATGATCATGCTCCTGTGGCATCCTCATACCGATTCACACCTTCACAGAGCACAGAAGAGGAAAAGGTTTTATATTATTTTAGTCGCTAATAACAAATAGTTTTTTTTACATACAAATAGTTTAAGAAACCTGAAGAAGTTAAAGCTGGTGGTGGGCCTTTTAAGTTTGTGTATAGCTGGAGAAGTAAAAAATGAAATATATCAAATAATTTATAAATTATTTAAACTATTTCTTTAAAATGTGAACAAAAAATTAAAAAATATGTGACCTGTTTTATTTTTTTAAACTGTGCTGATTTGTTTTGTAATTCTATTTTGTAATAATTTGTTTTTAACTCATTGTTTTGGAGCATTATAATCCTTATAATCCATGGTTTTCAGCCTTTTGAAGCTAATTTATAGATTTATAATTAGCATTATTATACTAATGGTATTAAATTCACAATACTTTAGTTATGTAAAGTAGCAACTTCTTGTCATTGTAATGAGACTTGCACCAATCATTCCAAATATTTTTTGCCCATATATTGTATATATATTGCTGTTTGTCATTGGTACATTATGATTTAATAGCTTTTTTCTCTTTCTGGTCCTCCTTCATTATCCCACGAGTTAAGAGACAATAATACTGTCACCTTATGGTTATACCTCCTCTAGTAGGAGCTGTATCATTATTATTCACATATTATAATAATAATGGAGTCAACAAATAATTCACTGACAGCAACTGATATAAACATCACTAACAATACATATTATGTCAGAATATCACCTGCTAATATGTAAAGGTTATACAACGAGGTGGAGGTATCTATGGCATTTATCATACTGAGGGCCGTAGGCCCGAGGTATGATAAGGCC